TGCCTCATGTACCTGATGACCTGCACTCGACCTGACCTTGCATACCCTCTTAGCATCCTTGCACGCTATGTCGCTCCTGGCCGTCACAGGAAGGAGCACATGGATGCCGCTAAGAGGGTGTTGCGCTACTTGTGCAGTACGTCGGGCATGGGGCTAGTGCTTGGAGGGCGAGACCGAGTTGTACTTACTGGACACTCAGACGCTTCTTGGGCGGACGACCAGGCTACTCAGCGGTCGTCTCAGGGTTACACCTTCAGCCTTGGCTCCGGCTCAGTTTCTTGGCGTTCTACACGCTCTTCTTCTGTTCTCAGCTCCAGTTGTGAGGCTGAGATCTATGCCACAGCCATGGCTGCCCAGGAGCTACGCTAGCTGACCTACCTGCTGACCGACTTGGGAGAGCGGCCTCATTCTCCTCCAGTGCTGTACGTCGACAACCAGGCTGCCATTGCCTTGTGTGAGGAGCACAGACTGAAGCACAGAACGAAGCACATCGCCCTGCGGTACTTCCTTGCTCGAGAGCTGCAGCAGCGTGGTCAGCTTCGTCTGCGTTACGTGGCCACTGAGGCCAACCTTGCTGATGTGTTCACCAAGGCGCTTCAGCCTTGTGACCATCAGCGTTTCTGTACTCTTCTAGGCCTTGTGCCTGCTGGACCTCACTTACTTACTTCTTGACTTTGCTTGTACTGTGATCTTTATATATATGCCTGCTAGGTTGCTAGGTTGTGATCACTGTATCTCTTGTTATATTATCAACCTGCATGTGAACTGGTCTTGTGACCACTTGCTTGTGCTCGGAATTTGTGTGGTATCCTTGAGATCCACCCTGAGCTTGTTTTGCTTTGCTTTGACTGGTCTTGTGACCCCTTGCTCTCCCCCACTTTGCCTATGGGGGTGTGTCAAACATTGTATATGTTGTGTTTGTTTAGGCTACAGTGGGTTAGCCTATAGGGGGTACACAATTCTAGGGTTAGGTACTTGTACTGATTTCACTGTTAGTTCAACCATTCCTGTCCGTTCATTCTGACAATTTGGGCAACGCACGCCGTGCTCTCAAGGACTATCTTGTCAAGCAAGGTGTATCTCACGCCACCCAGCTTTGAGGGGGGGACGTGTGAGAGTACGACGGCTTATGCTTGTTATTCATGCTTGCTTTTATTCCCTTACGCTATTTCTAGCTTAGGTTTAATTTCTGCATGCATGAATTGCTTGATTCCTAGGCTAGGTGCTTTTCTATATTTTATTATAGTTTTAAGTATCGTACTAGGTTACACCGAATTCGGAGCTATTCGGTTGCCACCGAACTGCTTTCTACCGAATTCGGGAAGGGTCTGTTCGGGACGCTTCGCGACCCGCAGAACCTTCGCGTAACACCTGGTTACTGCCCCTTGTGTCGAGCCTATATATAGCCTCGTGTTGTACCAGGTGATCATTCAATTTACATTCTCATTTCTGAACTCGATCCTCGATCCTCACAGGGAGGGTGGCTGCACCCCAAGGGGGTCTAGGGAAGGGGTCTGAGCCTTTTGGCTCATTCTTCACTTCCTGCTCCCAACTAATCAATTGGGAAACAGGATTGCCTTCTTCTCAACTCACCCTTCAGGATTTGTTACTGCATCTCCCAGCAGTTTTCAGACTTAGTCATTTCCAAAAGTTGTTACTCTCTGGTTGTATTAGAACTTATATATGGGTAAATGCCATTTAAATTAGCAGATCCGTTACACACTGGCCACAAGTTCGGCGGCACCAGGAATGACTGCGAGAAGCTGTGCAAGGCATTCGCCCTAACCACCGTCCCGAACCTGGCAAAGAGTAAGCCGGAACTTCATCGCATGGGCGGCACGAGGCTGTACTGGTACAAGGTGGAATCGTGGTCCACCAAGCTGGAAACCCGCGAGATGCGCTATGTCATGTTGCTTCGGGAAAAGTCAGCACTGTTCAACAACAGTCCTTTTGATGCCACATTTTCTAGGTTTTTGTCTTGCTGGTTTGTGCATGAAAGTTTGTTTTGGTTGTACTATCTGACCGTGCTTTTTTATTACTACACAATTACCATGTTTTGCTGCTCGCATGTTTCGATTTGCAGGCAGCTGAGCTCGAGTCGAAGACCTTTTGTCACATTCTTAAGAACAACCACAAGGAAGAGGACTTCCATCAGGGGCTCCAAAACAGAACATGCTAAAGACGCGCAACTGGCCTAGCACATACCCCTACCTGATGCTGATGTCGCAAACGTTGGCTGTGCTTCTGCTGAGCACTGTTGTGTGCGAACGTGGTTTCAGCAAGCAAAACTTCATCGTGAGCTAGGGGCGCGCATCACTCAACGACTCCCGTCTCACAGAGCTGATTAGCATCCACATGCTTGAGTACGGCTTCGTGTGGTATGAAGTCGTTGACATCTGGCGCAAGCAGAAGAAGCATCGCCCCGCCAAGAAACTAGTGCACGCCCCACCAGTAGCACAAAGGGGAAGGAGAAGGACGAGTTTGATTCGTATGGGCAAACATGAGTAGAAGTGTAGTGTTGAGCTATATTTAGTCAGATACTTGGTGTATAATATGATGGGACTGCTATAAATAGTACATTTTAAAACTTGCCCCCCCCCCCCCCCCCCCCCCAAAATACGTAAATAGAACAAAGTGCTTGTACAAAAGGTGTTACAAAAAACCTGTACAGTTCATACACCTTATTTGAATAACATCACAATAGAGCAAATTATTACTCTAACGTGCCTAGGTTTTTCCCCCAAAGTATAGGGTTACTCTCACAAATCAGAGTAAGGCCGAGGAACAATTCTAAAATTCAATGTTGGAAAAAAGAGGCACTTTGGAAATCAAAGTACAAAAAATCTAAAATTTCTAAGCCCTGATGACCACCACGCCGACGGCATCGAACTCCAGGATTGAAGGGGAGTGTTGGAAAAAAGTAATTTGACGTATACAATTTAGTGGCTCGATAGTATGAACACTACAATAGTATCGTAGTATCAATATGTATGTAAATTAGTGTAGCATGTGTCTCTTCGTGAGAGCTTTACAAGTAGTACCGCAAAGCGAACAATCTAGTGACTGTTCACCAGGGCCCAAATTATCAGGGTAAAATTCCCTTTTTGCCCTGATGGTAGGCCACTTTTTCTAGTTACCCTTGCCAAATCAAGGTATTGGAATTTTTTACCCTAGTGAAAGTATGATAACATGTGAAGTTCACTTGTAACGAATTTGATTACCCTGATGGTATCAGGGTACGATGCCAACTACACTTATACCGATTTTTTTTTTTTACCGCGGATTCCGCCACATATCGCATGCAAACTGAAATCACCACGGGTCCACTGCCACACTTGTCCCTATCGACCACAGGCGCACGACCGTCAAATTTTGGCGGCGGGATGCTTTGCTCGTCCAATTGGTCCTTAGAGCCACTGTTGTGCCAACACACGCAGGTTTAGGGCAACACGTAACCACGCTCACTGCCAATGGTGCCATTTTGCGCGCCAAGTGTGTTTCGTGATGTCCTATGCATCAGGGCTCTCGTTACCAGTGTAATTTACCATTCTACACTGTTTTCAAGGGTGAAATTTTGGGCTTACACTGACGTGTTTGGGTAACTTTCTGGAGGATTACTATTACACCGATATGTTAGTGTAACGCTTCAAACCACACTGATGCATTGGGGTAAATTTTCCCTTAGCAAAGATAACAGTGAAGAGCGCACAGTCCCACCTTCCCTCCCTCCCCCCCTCCCCCCCCAGAAATCCGTCGGTTTGTGATTTCCGTTAATTATGCAAGAACCGATGTTTCCTTCTGTACAGTATGTTTGTTGGCAGTAGTCCCGTGTCTGATTGGTCAGTTTTGTATGTTTCCCTTGCCAGCGCGCCACGAAAACTCACACTGCTGTTGTAGGGTAAGATTTCCAAAACTCGTGGTTACACTAATCCATTAGTGTAATAAATAAATACACGCTGCTCAGAAGGGTTTTTGAAACAGCTACACTGCCAATCGTGAGTAGGCAAAATCTGAACCTAAGCCTTGCTATGCATCACACGGCAGTCGATACTGTGCTGCAGCAACTGCCATGCAGTACCCGCTGTTGCGAGTGCGCGAGGCACTGAGTAGTTGTGTTTGCATTTCTAATTAGTTATATGGACTGTTACATCGGAAAGTAATGAGTTAGACCTATTCAACAAGAATCGGTTCGATTGTGTTGTTTCGGATCAGTGTTGGTAGAAGAAACATGCGTGAAATTTCAGTGTTGGCACAAGAAACACGCCTAAAATTAGTCCTTCGATTGAAAAAAAAAAAAAAAAAAAAAACACTTTCCAATCAGCCTAAGGAAAAAAAAAACCCTGGGGAAAAAAAAAATTCAAGGGCAAATCAGCGCTTTTTTCCAGACTTCTGAGGGCCTAGACCTATTGCAATACAAATAGCCTAACAATAATTCTACCCTGGTATAATCAGTGTATCGGAATTTTTATGATGTTTTAGGCTGCTATCATCAGGGTATTTAATTTTTTACCCTAAAAGTCAAGGTACAAGGGGCCTGGTACCCAAATTTGCAAGAGTGGACCTAAACCTATTTTGGGCCCTGCTGTTCACATGACACTGGGAAGTACCACTTCAGGAGTCGACTCGACAAAAGCTCTGTTCAAGAACAATCACATCTTTAAATAGGCACTTTGCTAGACTACATAGTTCTCGTACTTATTATTATTCAATTCTTGTTCTTATTCTTGTCCTAAGGCATTTTCTCAACCCAACAAAAATTGCACTGACCATCAAACTATGTTCCGTCTTTCACTGACCCTCCTTCAGCCTCCATACAGCTTCATTCTTTGTGCTTGTTACAAGCCGGCAAACACCTTCCCATCCATGTTGTCATCGCTTGCCCTTTTTCTCCTGCGGCCGGTGCGCCATGCAGCGGATGCCATCAGGGTCCATGGCAAACCCCAGCGGGCGGTAGAAGGTGACCACGCGCTGCTCCGCGAATAGCCCCACGTTGCACACACCTAGGCGCAGCAGCGCGCCCACCACGCGCTCCATGAGGGCGCGGGGCCCAGCCCGCTGCCCTGCAGGCGCGGGTTCACCGCCACGTCCCACACCACCTCGTTGAATACGCCATCCCCCGCCGTGCACGCAAACGCCGCCGGCTCCACCGCCGCCTCAGGCGGGGAGGGCGAGGCGGTGGTGGGCGAGGAAAAGAAGGCGAGAGGCTCAGCAGGAGAAGGCTGAGGGGCAGAGAACCAGAGCACGAGGGTGGAGTGCGCCAGCGCGTGCTGCAGCTTCTTGGGGCCGCGGCGGGGGAAGCCTGCGTGGTGGAAGAGGTCGTCGAGCTTGGCGTAGTCGAGGAGCTCCGTGTCCCAATGCACCGCGATGCCCCGCTCCTGCAGCTCACTCTCCTACACACTCACCTGCTGTTTCCCTCCTGACCCCCCTGCCCCAACAGCAGCGCAGTGCCGTGTATGGCATGTGGCGTGGAAGCGCGGTTTGCAGAATGGTTGGTGACACTGCATGGGATTTGCGGGGGAGTAGAGACAGCGACAGGGGTGTTGGAAACAATGAATCTTAAGCGCCTCTGTCGTGTCGAAACACTGCACCAGAAGCGAAGCGTAGCATACCGAAGCACAGGCGAGTCAACCTTCGGAGGTTGAAAGTAACTGCTGGAGGTTACGCGAAGGTCAAAGGTCAGCGACCTTTGACCTAACAAGTACAGCGCGACAGCAAGGACACACAACTGACTCGTTACAGAGCAGTTGCCCGAGTCGTCACTGTATCGAACCGCAACAGCAATAGTAAAGTAGTTATAACTGTATCTCTTCATATTCCTTGTACTCTTATATAATCTTGTATCTCTTTGCTTTAATCAATCTACTTTGCCCTCACATACTAGCGCAAGGTGGTTCAACTTCTTCATTAACGCTTCCGCTATTACATTGTTCCTACCCAGAGTTCACCCTTGCAAAAGATTCTACGGGCAAATTTTCAGCCCAACATGGTATGAGAGCTCACAAGGGGAACTCAACTACTATCAAGTCATCACAAGACATGGCAACACAAAAGGAAAGGAGCTCCTCTAACGGCTCCCAGGGCACTACTCCTACTCCACCTCCTGCCTCTGGCCTACAGACAGAGGAGGGCACGGCAGTCAAACCAAGGGCAACGTCTTCCGAAACTCCCGCAAGTCAACCTGCCAACTTCGACCAGAGCATGTCGTTTTACGAACAGTACCAGCAATCGGCACCTGCGCAATCACACAACAGCAACAACAATGAAGTGACTCCGATGAGTCTTGACGGCTCATCATACGCTCGCGGAAACCAACAGCAGCAACCTACCTTTGCTCCGTACGAGCGCGGGTCCATCAGCTTCATGCCGCACCCGCAGCCTTCACCTGGACAAGAAAGCCATTGGACGCGTTGCAAGTTCAGTCGCAGTTCGCGCACGTTTTAAAGCTACAGACATCAAGACCCTTGATGGAAATGACTTCTTCATCTGATCGTTCGAATTTGAGTTGATGATGGAAGGAGCGCAGATACTTGGCTTCTTCGACGGGTCCCTGCCATACCCAACAAACGGCACACAGTACGAGAAGCAGCAGTACACCTATCAGTCAATGATGGCGTACACGATTCTACTGAGGAACATCACACCGACTCAGCAGCAGAACCGAGGTCTTACCGGGGTTACAGCAATTCTGGGGAGCTCGCATACAGCCATTTGAAGAACCTGTATCAAGCAAAAGACAGCGTAAATCAAAGTCGGTTAATGGCGCAACTGACAACGGTCGAAATGAAACCAGGCGAGAAGGGAATGGCGTATATCAGCCGATGTCGCGAGCTGCGCGACAAGCTTCTTCGATGCGGAGGGACGATATCTGAAGACGCCTTCGTGACAGTCATCATCGGCGGCCTCGGTCCTCAATGGCGCGCCACAAAAGCCATTCTTCGAGCTCACGGAAGAATCTTCGAAGCAGCACTCTGCGCCGAAATTCACGCCGAGCAGCAAGACATGGACCTGCAAGAAGAACGACACAAGAACAAGACATCAACACCGGAATTTTCCTTTCACACTCAGCGACGCTACAACAACAACAACAACCGACAACAACCGAAGCCCGTACCTCCGTTCTGCCACATCTGCAAGACGTCAGGGCACCCATGCACGCATTGCCCAAATCGACAACAGTCAACGCCTCCACAGCGGCAGCTTCGACCTTCTAGCAGCCAAGTCGCCTCAACACAAGCAAATCCCACGATCCAGAGTCAAGCTTCAACGACACCAACGGGACAACCTGCACAAGGAACAAGGAACATCGTCAGCTGCATGGCAAGACTGAGCGACTCCTGCATCACGGAATCACCACCGTACTACTCACCGGAAGAACAACTCGACGAAACGACACCTCGCCGCGAGTCACTTCAACCGAACCCGACATACGCCGCCATCGCCCAAAGCGAGCCATCCGGGAAGGACACGTGGTTCTTGGACAGTTGCTGCGGACAGCACATGTGTTCTTCAGGACGCTTCGTGCAGCGAGAGTATCAACTTCAACGCGAAGTAGTCATCACCGTCGCCAACAATCAGAACCTGCGCACACGACGACAAGGAGTGGTACAACTTCAGTCACGAGAAACAAATGTTATTCTACAGACGTCTAAAGTCTTAATCGCAGAGGGCCTCGGCTACAACTTACTGAGCGTCAGTCAGTTGATGGCGAAAGGTATTCACCTTGAAGCAGACAGCACCACCCAGGAGTTCAAGCTATACCACGGGAAGGGCGGCCTCTACATCGGAAAGGCGATCCTCAAGAACAACGTCTTCGTTCTTGATTTTGTTCCAGATCTCGGCACAGCATCACTTCCTGGACCCACCCTCCAGATCTTGATCCAGACTTCAGTCCCGGCGGCTTCTGGTATTCACACACCATTCCTGAAACAGAAAGAACAAGAGCGTTAGCAACGATTCAACATTCAACAGCGGCAGATACAACATCGGCAGCAGCAGAAACAACATCAGCAGCAGCAGAGACAACATCAGCAGCAGCAGAGACAACATCGGCAGCAGCAACAACATCGGCAGCAGCAGAGACAACAGCAGTAGCAGCAGAAACGTCAACACCAGTCGCTGGTCCCTCAACAGCACCACTCTTCATCGATGACACGCCACCAACACCAGCACAGCAACTCAACCCGGCATGACGAGAAGTCCACCGAAGCACCAACGTCACCGCCGGCTTCTACTCCAACTCCGACATGTACCGACGCTCACCCGGACACCGCGCCAGCGAAGGAACCTGGCACGCAAGGATGGGACATCCAAGCAACACAGTGTTAAACAACACGATAAGAGCGGGTGTACTCGACAAAGATTCACTCTTACTGACCGACGGCAGAGAACTTCAGCGAGCCCGTGGAACGTGCTTCACCTGTCCTGAAGCTGACTTACCGCATCAGCCGTTCGTCTCGCATCACAATCCAAGCGCACCTGCATACGCACCACTCGAGAAAGTGTACAGCGACATCCTGTACAACCGCGAGCCCGGACAAAACGCCTACAACTACACGATCACCTTCATCGACGCCGCGACACGATACGTTTGGCACCTTAATCTTCCAAGCAAGGACATGGCCTTCGAAGCGTTCCTCGCCTGGCTCCCTGTAGCAGAAAGAGAGTCGGGAGTAAAACTGAAAAGCTTCCAGTCAGACGGGGGAGGAGAATATACCTCACAGAGGTTCAAGCAGTACTTGGCAGAGAGAGGAATCAAGCGGCTCATCTCCCTTCCCTACGCCCATCAACAGCAAGGTGTAGCAGAAAGGATGAACAGGACCCTCCAGAACACCATGCGCAAGCTGCTACGTGGCATGCATCTGCCCAACCACCAGTGGCCCGAAGCAATGGACCACGCCGTCATGCTGCACAACTTGCTCTCGTCATCATCGCTCCCGAACAACGCATCACCACACCTGCTGTGGACAGGAAAATTGGGCAGCACAAAAATGTTAAGAGTTTTCGGGTGCATGGTACAGTACCGACCCCCATCCGCTCGAGCTGGCCAAGTCTCCCAACGCGCACAGTGGGAGGTACACCTGGGCATCGAGAAGCATTACAACGCATGGAAGATTTTCGACCTCGAGACAAAGGAAACAGTGGCAGCACGTGGCGTATCTTCTATGAAGGACTCACTATGCGATACTTCCTCGCCAACTTGCAAGAAGGAAATCCCGACCGCAGCAATGGTTTTCGTGGAGACCAAGCCTTCGCTTCGGCAACCGACGAAGCTGACTGGGACGAGCAGAATGTGGAAGGAGCCTCGGAAGAAGCCGGACCTCTCCCCTACTGCTCAGTGGACGTACCGATGGACGACAAAAATCCTCGCGAAAGTGTCAACGCCGACGTCTACTACCACTTCGCTGACAACGGTTACGTTACACCCGCCAAAGTCAACACCAACGAAGCAGAACGCGTAGGACCAAATTTCATACCTGACCCGGAAGCTGGAGACGAAGCAGTTTATCCCGAGGATACCACACTCCCCCGCTACACACAGAGTGGACTCCAGATACTTGGACTCGTCACCGCAGTCCACGGCGCAGCCATTCCTAAGGAGCCTGCGACAGTTCAACAGGCTCTGGGGGGGGAGCATAGGGAAAAATGGCGCGAAGCCATGGACAAGGAACTGAAGGCATTAGAGGAGCGCAACACGTGGAAAATCGTTCCCATCGGCGTAGCACGAAACAAGACCATTCTCACCGGAAAATGGGTCTTCCGTGTGAAGACGAAGGCCGACGGCACCATCGACAAATTCAAGGCGCGCTGGGTCGTACGCGGCTTCGACCAAGAGCACGGGCGCGACTTCACCGAAACATTCACTCCGGTCAGCCGACACACGTCGCTACGAATCCTCCTCGCGATCGCCGCCATGAAGAAGAAGAAACTGCGACAGATCGATGTCGCGAACGCATTTCTCTACGCACCCGTTGATGCAGAAATTTTCGTGGAGCTACCGCACGGGTCCAACGGAGAACCCAACCACGTCTGTTAGCTACTCAAATCGCTCTACAGCATCAAGCAAGCTCCGCGGCTATGGCAACAATACCTACACGCTCGCCTCATTCGCATCGGCTTCAAGCAACTACCGCACGATCAGGGGATGTACCGGCTCACGAAAGGCACGGATTACATCTTGCTAATCGTCTACGTAGACGATCTCCTCTACATCGGCTCAACCGACAGCGTCACTACCTGGTTCGAAGGGGAGCTGCAGCAGGACCTCACGCTCACGGTTTCATCTACCGTCATGCAATACCTCGGCCTCAACATCCAGGAAGAAGAAGACGCGATCTACCTCAGCGCCGCGAAATACGCCGACACCATCGCCAAACGCTTCGCTCTCACGCCGACCGCCATCTCCACGCCGTACCGCTACACGACAGGAAACAACAAGGAAGGATCCGCTCTACTCAAGCCCGCCGGCATACGCGACTACCAGAGGAAGCTGGGATGCCTCCTCTTC